GTACACCCTATTGGCAGAATTCAGATCTGAAAAATCTCTTAAATGCTAAGCAAAATATCTTACCATACTCTTCCTTGCTTCAGCAAATGCCCTTTTCTCCTCTTCTATGCGTCTTCTGGCTTCTTCTTCTGCTTTCCTCTTTTCTTCCTCTCTCCTCTGTCTTTCCAACTCCTCAAAGCTGAGTTTGAGTTTACCAGGACGGAATTCTTTAATAGAATTTTCATTTTCATTATCTTCTTCCTCTTCGTTTGCCTTTTTTAAAAAAAAATTAAAAATGTTTGTACTCTTTTTGGGCCAGTGAGAAGAAAGAAAAGCTCCCTCTAAGAAATGTAAAAACTGCAGTCTCTCTCAACGCCCATACACCGAATACTTTAAAGTATTAGGCACCATCTGGATAACTTTTCGAATTCTCTCTGAGGAATAGTTTAACGCTACACGCTTATAAATCAAGAACAATATTACACAAGCAGGGGGTGAACTAAATAGCCAAAGTCATCTTTGATGTATACTCTTAAGGGCTGGATCATTTTGACACACCTAAACAGGCCTCAAAGGGGGTAACAATCCTCAAAATCTGAGTAATAAAACATCTCTCTGAATCTTGAATTATGCTGTTAATTTCACATATCTGGAAAGGAACCTAACAGACCTTTCATTTGTAGTAGAAAATGTATGTAAATGCATTGGACTGTAGTCTCTTTATTTGCATGTGAAGTGCTTTCCCTCAGTCCTGATTTGTTACAAAATAATATAGTAGCGGATTGTAAATTTTTATAAATAAACTACAACAATATATTAGCATTTTATTTTTGACCCAAGTTGACAATGGTGCTTCTGTTCCTCCTTCAGAAAATGAAACATCACTGACGAATGGAAATGAGGTGCTTCGATATCTTCACTGTTGCCCTTCTCCATTAGACACGGTCTGCAAGGAGAAGGCTGGGACTTGCAAACTCCAACTAAGAATGAAAGCAAGCAACTAAGAATGAATATTCCTTCAACTGCTGTATGTCTAGGGCGAGAATGAATCCATGAGCTATGATGGCATCGCTGTTGGAGTTTTCTGCACATTCTAAGCATCATGGCATTGAGCTATTGCTCACAGAGTTGAGAAAATTATATGATACCAGCTTTTCAGAATGATTAAATTACTGAATATCTATGGAAAGGGGAAAAATTGAAGGAAATAATTGAATGATTCCCTTTAGAAAACTCTGCAAAGGTGCAACCATCAAAGGCAAGTGATTGGGAGGAAAATGGTAATTTATAACCAATTAAAGTTGGGTGTGTAGAAAGGGAAACACAATAAGAGCTTTAAAAAAATAATTTGCAAATATCACTTTTATACTAAAACTATGTATTTCAGAATGTGGGTGAAGGGGTGGAAAAAAGTATGGTTTAGGATGAGCACTGTGGCTTTCTAAACGAAGAATACAGTATAGAGAGCTGTGGTGTTCAGGGTTGCTAGTAAAAGGAAAGGTTAAGCACCTCGAAAACAGAACTGGACCTAAGCTACAGAATTTGGATTCAAGATCAGATATGGATTTTGACCCCATGCTCACAAGTTCGGATGCATTCTGATGCTGGGCTCCAACAATTTGGTTTTGGAAACTTTCAGGGTTTCAATTTTTGAGCATCTGTGTTTCCACAATTTTGTGCTGAATTAGGATCTTTAAAAAATGTTACTATAAAAACACCACATCAAGTGCAAGATGGTTACAATCTGCCCAGGAACAGTCTAGTAGAATCAAACTGTTTTTAGTTATCAAAAGTGTGTCATTTATTAAATTCCTAGAAATAAAATCTTGCATGGTGCACTGAAATAAAAACCCCATTCACAAGTGCAAATACTGGTGCGTACTGTCTGTGTGGGAGAACAATGGCATAAATAGTCATCTGAGTGCACAGAAGTAAAATCTATGTTTAAATATAGAATTTTCTAAAGGTGGTCTCATTTTGTTGCAAATTATTAAGAAAATGTAGCTAAACTATCCAATATACCTGATGCGAATACTCTAACTAAACAATTGTTATTGCTATAGACCAGAGTACCTAATTTATACAGAGGTCTACTGAATCTTAGATAAACCTAGCTTACAAAAATCTTTAGGGCAAAGGCTACATTATGGAGATGTATCGGGCGGGAGTTGAGGGGAGAGAGAACAGGATTGTGGTTTTTTTTTGGTTTTTTTTCCTATTCCTGACAATATATTAGGCTAAATCTCTCCAAGGCTTAATCTAGAGTGTAGTATTTAAACCCCCTATAAAGAAAAGGAGTGATCCAACCTTCTCCTCCTCCTCTCTCTCCTACTCCAGAGAGAAATCCTCAGTGATGAATATAAACATGGTAGATAAACAAAAGAGATGAATAAGAAATAGCTCCAGACAGTTGCCATGGAATGCTTTCATGTGTGAAAATATTGGTTATTTCAATGCTCAAAGTATCACTGAAGTTAGACAAAACATAGATAACTCCGAGTTTGTTAAATAATGTTTAGCCATGTGACTGAAAACCACTAGAAGGATGCTTATACCCACGAATGTGGTAAATTCATCTGGAGTAGTTTAAGTTCAATCAATATTTAATTAATTTAAAACTAAGAACTGGAGTCAATTTAAGAACAGACTAAAATCTGTTCATACTTTTATACAATTGCTTCAGTAAAAGATTAAAACATACTGACACATGGAACTGGAGTATCCTATGATGCAGCTACATTTTGTAAGAATGAATATGACTGATGGCATGCTTTTAAGAAAAGAAAGCTTCACTCATACCAGTGGCTTGTTTAAATGACTATGCCAAGACTTAAATGAATCACTATCTAGAACAGTGAATTTCAAAGTTCGGGTCGCGACCCAGTACTGGGTCACAGAATGCAAGGCACTGGGTCGCTTTGCTCAGCACCCTGGCAGCCGGCCAGTAAAAACTAGTAGTCCCTACCTGTTCTGACACCGCACTGCGCCCCAGAAGTGGCCAGCAGGTCCGGCTCGTAGGCAGGGGGCCATGGAGGTTCTGTGCGCTGCCCTTGCACCGAGCACTGGCTCTGTACTCCCATTGGCCAGTTCCCAGCCAATGGGAGCTGGGGGGGTGCCTGTGGGCGAGAGCCACACAGAGCTGCTTGTGTGCCTCCACCTAGGAGCCGGACCTTCCGGACGCTTCCGGGGCACAACACAGTTCGCAGCGCCAGGATAGGCAGGAAGCCTGCCTCTGCACCCCGGCTGCGCTGCTGACCAGGAGCCACAGGATGTAAGCCCGCACCCCTGCACCAGCCCTGAGCCCCCTCCCACACCCTGAATCCCTAATTCCTGGCTCCACTCCACAGCCCTCATCCCCGCATCCCAACCCTCTGCCCCAGCCCTGAGCCCCCTCCCACACCCCATCCGTTTGGTCACGGGCATCAACAACTTTCTTCAACCGGGTCGCCAGAAAAAAAGTTTGAAAGCTACTGATCTAGAACAGTATCTAGGGCAGAAAGAATTTTTGAAACTGATAATGCTGTCAGGTCTCAATCTCAACTGTTAAAAACTGAGAATCATCATGAGGTCAACAGTTTGAAACAATTCAGATGTAAAAAAAACCCCTCCGATACATGAAGGAATGTAGTGTATTTTCTACACAAATAAGCATCGATAACTAGAAATGAATAATGCATCTATTTACCATTTGTTGTCTAGCTTCTTCAAAGGCACGTTTTTCCTCTTCCAAACGTTGTCTTGCCTCCTCCTCTGCCTGCCTTCTTTGATTTTCTTGTCTTTGTCTTTCCAGTTCTTCAAATGTTAATTTCAGTTTCCCAGGAGAAAGAGGTTCATTTGTTTCACTGCTTCCATCTTCATCCTAGATAACAAAAATGAAAGTTAAATACAGTTTAAATATCAAACCTGTTTCCCAAGTATTTCTCATGATTTGTTTACCATTACAAATGAAAGACACTTGGCTTCCTTGAGGGATTGTTTTTGTTCCTCATATCTCATCCTCTTTTCTTCTTCTTGCTTTCTTTTTTCTTGTTGTTCTCTCTCATTTCCTGGGTCTTCAAATTTTATTTTAATCTTTCCAGGTGTTTTGTTAGGTTTGACAGGCACTACTGTCACCAGCAGCGAATCATCACCTTCCTGTTGTTAATAATAAATTTGTTTCCATAAATATTGACTTTTTGGAGTAGTCTTTCCACATGCAGCTACCACTGTTACCTGTGCTTCTCAAAACTGCCAACATAGTTATACTGAGACCAAAAGTAAGGACCAGAGCAAAACTCATTTTCCAGTGCTACTGACAGCCATTAGTTTTCTTCTGACAACAGAAGAGCATCAAGAGAATTTTATTTTGAATTGAAATGCGACTGGTAGCAAGCGTTCATAGAACTTGTACAGTATCTTCATTGACAGTTGAACTTATCTACAGTATTCATGGCTGATTGGAAAAAAGCTGCTGAAATTTTGCAGATATAATTGTAAATGCACCTAAGTTTTAAGGTGCTATACTCCATTTGGAAATAAGCTAATAAGGAATTTGCTTCCACACACTCTCCCTCCAGAAACTGTGGTTTAAAAAATAGCATGTGAAGTTACTGCCAGTCCCTTCAGTCTTACTTGGGCAGAAGTCTGGGATCTATTATATCTATTTGCATGTTCAATCTCCATGATATCTAGGACTGAGTCCTTAGTAATTTTTTTAAGTGACAAGTTGTGCAGCATTTCAAAATGTCTGATTAGAGCAACACTGACAACTCAAACATTTACAGACTTCTTTTGTATATAAAATCTATTGCTGTCTCAAGTGGATTTGAGCTATTGTCCAATACAAATTCATGTACAAAAATATCTTCCATGATGTGGATTTACACAAAATATCACCATTAAAGAGAGACTGTCTAGTAATTTAGACCCAAAATTTAGATTTTATTTAAATAAAAAAAAAAAAAAAAACTTACAGTAGAAGTGTGATTACACTTTGTTTTGACAACTTAGTGAAAAATGGGTTTTTGGTGTATAGCTTTTTTAAAAATTAAACATCCGCTTACAATGCTGGAACCTCATAGAAAACAACGTTGTGCTAGCATATGTAAACCAGTGTGTTAAACTGACCAAACAAACCAGTTTAGCTACACTTTCCAAGCTGAAGTGCAATACGTAAATCAAAACATTGTTAGTGATTATAAACATTCTCTCTTTTAAATGAATCTAAAAATCTTGACTGTACTATAACATTAAAAAAAAGCTTGACACTTTTCCTGTTTAATTTCAAGATTAAAAAAGGCAAAGAGCTTTTAAGGTTAGATTTTCAAAGCCACTAGTGTATTTAGAGGCCCATGTCCTGTGAGCATCAGAATCCTTTACATGGCTTTGAAAATGTAAGCCTGAGTTATTTTTTTTATTCTGACTTTAATGGTTGGTAAGTCATTCACCTTTAAACTTGTTTTAAAGCTAGAATAAATTGGCCTCGTAGATAGATAGCCACAAAATATATTGCCAAGACATTTTCTCAGGCTTTTTTAGCCTTGTTACATAATTTCAGTGAAAAATTAAGTGTATTGTTTATTTACCCAACCCCTATTAAACTAATAAAGCAGTGAATAAAAAATTAGGTGAATGTTTCTTTGAGAGAAAAAAAAAAAGTCCAATTACCTCTGATGCTGATTCAGTTCCTGTATTGTTTATGTCATCAATCTATTAAATGAGAATTTCACATAATTATGTTACTTTTGTTCTTTGCCTTAGATTTTCAAATATAAAATGGAAAATTAACTCAGTGATTGCTTGTATGTTGCATTTAAGTTTATGTATCTTCGGGGTGGGAGGGAATAGAGCAGGGGTCAGCAACCTTTCAGAAGTGGTGTGCCGAGTCTTCATTTATTCACTCTAATTTAAGGTTTTGCGTGCCAGTAATACATTTTAAAGTTTTTAGAAGGTCTCTTTCTATAAATCTATACTATATAACTAAACTATTGTTGTATGTAAAGTAAATAAGGTTTTTCAAATGTTTAAGAAGTTTCATTTAAAATTAAATTAAAATGCAGAGCCTCCCAGACTGGTGGCCAGGACCTGGGCAGTGTGAGTGCTAGTGAATATCAGCTCGCGTGCTGCCTTTGGCACGTGTGCCATAGGTTGCCTACCCCTGGAATAGAGGAAAACCATTCTGAATACTTTTTGATAGCTATATGAGTTTAACCTGACATTAAATTTTAATGCCTAGGTTGTATGTCATGTTTTAACCTACAACAGTATTAATGTTTGAACAGTTCTTGAGGCTTACTAGATAAAGGCTTACACTTTACTAGCTATGTAATCCTGGAAACAGAATTGAAACCCTGGGTATAGCATAATAATCTTATTTAGTGTCTTAGTGATAAACTAGTAAATACAGTGTAGATAAAGATTTGTTTCCACATGCATTCCATAATTGTGCAAGAGAAGCTAAAGAAAATCTGTCATCTAATTTCATATCAAAGTGACCTTGTCCTTCCCTTGAGACTGAGCCTATGGAGAAAGCCCCCTTTCCCTATATTCATATTCTTGACATTAGCTTCTATATACTTTACTGTCTGAAATTAGTATAACTTCCTTCCAGAGTACAAATTTACATACTGTACTCCTACCTTTCAAAGTAAATAAACTCTAGAACAGGTACTGAAAGAGGTTATGAGCTAAACTTTCAACAGAATGCTCACAATTTAGTAATGTTACTCCCAGTAGGACACGAGCAGCTAAATCTTTGTTGGACATTTATGCTTAATAAGAGTTCTCTTTCCTCTTCTGTGTGGAGGAAAAAGATTTAGTGCTAATATTTTTGGTTAAGCAAACCATTTATTTGTTCATTTACTCCTGTTCTTTTTGAGGATACAGACTAACACGGCTGCTACCCTGAAACCTGTCTAAAATGTGTGTATGTAACAACAAATGTTTTAAAATTTACTTAGTCAACTTAACCTTGAATCACTTCTAATCATATGATACCAAAATCTGTGTTTGGTTCATTCCCTCTCCCACTTTCTGTTCATCTTTTTCATCAGTGCTTGGTTTCAGCTATAACTCAAGCTCAGTGTTCGACAACAGTGATAACCCTCCACCCACCCTAAA